AAACGCTGTTTTCAGAAAAAATGCATCTCAGCCGTTTCGATACTCCTGACACGTACAGGAACATTAAGGGTGTTCACTTTTGGCAGCTTATGAGCAATGATCAGTCAGCTTTGATCTGATGTTGTTTATCAATGGACATGACAGTTTGCATGTTAATAGTCAAGGAACTGACCTCATTGTTCATTCATTTGGTGCTAGTTTCAGTCATTGTGCAAATGTACTGTTTATAAGGCTGGAGACACCTGCAGTCAGCTGAGACAGAAGAAGTCACTTGGACGAGTGATGAAACGTTTCTCCCTCTGAAAACGTTACGTTCAGATGAACAAAATCAACCTTTCAGGATGTTTAGTTTAAGTTTAGTTTGAATTAGTTTCAGTGTTACTTTTAGCTTTTGTAGTTATTTTATAAAAGCATGAGGCAGAGGCAAGATATAGCAATAAAATCATACATTTTTGAATACATACATTTATTTTATTTTAGTTAATTTTACAAGTTTTACAAAATAACTTCTGTTAGTTTTTATTTTCATTCTAACTTCCATCAAATATTTTTCACATCTAGTTTTAGTTTCTACTTAACCAACTATAACCTTGCAATGGACAGCTTTGGAGGTCAGGTCACTGGGACTCTGTGACCGAAACAAGCGGCTGTAGTGTAGCACAGAGTGTGCCGATTATTATTTATTTGCTTTTTAGTCTTAATAGTTTAAATGTTTTTGTTCTGTCCACTTTTTTGTTTGCACATTTTATTTTGTTTTTTTATGTTTTTTCTTTACTGCATCGCAATATGTTGAGTGGCCATTGCATTGTGTGCCTCCAAAATAAACACTTTGTTCCTCTCATTATATGCAAAGGGCTCCTTTGCTTTACAAAACACAATGTAAAATCATATGCATCTCAAACCATCAGTATTTCCTTTGATACACAGCGCTCAATGTCAGTGTAGGACAAGACTGGAAGGATAGGAGTACACTGTCATTATCGTAGAATATCTGCAATTGTTTTACCACTTTGGTGTCATGTTAAAGTTACTTGCCCTGTTGCTCTATTTGTTGACACAACTTTGGATTCTGAAGCATGAAAATAAGCTTTTAAGCAAGTTATGGCTTTTGTAGTTTAACTAATTTGTGTATCAGTTATAATATTTTCAAACATGTTTCAAGAAATGTGTGAAAGCGATTGAGAAAAACTGCAAACTTGTAAGTGCCACTTGGTGAATATAATAAAATATAATAAATACAGGTTTATTTATATTGACCCAAATCACAATTTTATATTGTGAGGTCAAGACCCTGCAATAATACAGAAAATAGAGAAAACACCATCAATCGTACAACTCCTGGCGACAGTGGGAAGGAAAAACTCCCTTTAAAGAGGAAGAAACCTCCAGCAGAACCAGGCTCTGGGAGGGGCGGGGCCATCTGCAGCTGCAAGTTGTTGGTTAGGGGTAGGGGACAACACAAAGACAAGATGTGGAAGAGAGCCAGAGATTAATAATAACTAATGAGTAAACGCAGAGTGGTGTGAAAGCACACAGAGAGTTAAAAAAGGTGAGTGAAGAAAAAACAGTCATTGCATCATGGGAACTCCCCACAGCCTACACCCATCCAGCTCCAACTATTAACTTTGCGAGAAAAAAAACGAATTCTAATCTGTTATTAAATTTGTATTGGTGTTACATACTTTGTAGTAAGTGGCTGAGTTACATTTTTAGAGATTATTTATTTGACATTTAACAGTGGGACCACACCTCAAACCGTCCCTTTCCAGCAGCGAATGCATAACTGTCCGCCGCAGCCATTTTTTTCTCGTTTCCATGTTCCACTTGCCCTCCCAAATTCTCTCTTAGTCATGCTTTTCGATAGATATCAAGCCAATCCTCAGTGAGCCTCATCCTCTAGTGTAGATTGTTGTTCTTCACCTAGCCGTCATGTTCATTTTAAATAACCATTGCAATCTGGTTTGGAGTTGTGAACTCTTACCTATTCCGCCAACCAGCTGATTGTTCTTTCCTACAGTCTGAAAATCGCATCTTTAGTTCCTGCTGCCCTGTTGTGCTGTCACAAACGTTTAAACTAGTTTGTTAAATTTTCTGTACATTTTGTTGACACATTTGTATGGAGGTTTTGACTCTGCTGTAAAGACGTGCCACATAATTACTGCCACAAATTGTGTTTCACCAGAGCTAAGTGCACTTTACATAATTAAACATTGGTGGGTCGGTACATTATCATTCTTTTGTTTTTATTCAAGTTGCAAATCCCGTCTGTGCCCCTATCTCACAGACGTGACGAGAATTGATGCTGCATAGACAACGCAACACAAAAATAGACTTTATAACTGGGCACAATAGAGTGTTTTTTAGATGCGATTGAGGGGGAGTCTAGGGGTAAGGCTTGTGAACAGTCTTGTACTTTGAGGTAAGAGGATTTTATTCACTTTGTGTTTGTGTTCTTTTTTTTCCCCAGTTCCTGAGCACCGAACTGGCTCGAGCTGTAGATGAGAGCAAAAAGACCCCCAATGACCTGATCCACGCTGAGAATGTGAGGGCGGGCCGTGACAAATACAAGACCCTGCGTCAGATTCGTCAGGGCAACACTAAACAACGCATCGATGAGTTTGAGTCCATGTGAGCGGGAGTGCTGTTGGCTGGCTCAGCCTGCAGGAGAGACTAAGTTCGGATGAGCTGGACACACACAGAGATTTTAGAAGTGTAGGGGAAACATTATCACATTAATCATAAATTTAGCTTAAGAATGACAGTGTGAACCCGAAAACAAATTATATTATAGACAATGTTGACGATTTCTTTAGTAAGCAAGTCAGTGAGAATGTAGCAGCTGTTCTTCTAGATGCATTTTTAATTTTGCACACACCCACATTCCCACTTCTCATTTATAAACAGGTTTGCTGTTGCCCTTATCAGTCTGATTACATCTTACTGCACTTCCAATATGTCCTATTGAAAACCTTATTAATGTTGATTAATTGAAGCAGTGACATTTAAAGCAAATGTTTTTATTCTAGCAAAATGTGAAATCATCTTTTCTTTATCTTGGAAATAGAAGTAAAAAATAAAATAGAGAGAGACACAACTGATGTGGGTTGGGTGCATTATTTTCCACATGAGCAATATTGGGTGTCTAATGAGTAAATCTGCTGCTGGTTATCAGTTTTAAATGCATGTTTGTGTAATATAATGTGATATAGGCGAAGTTAACTTGCCACTGTGGAGCAGGGATGTGGCTGAAGGGGGCTTAAATTCAACTGGCCCTGTCAATGAAAACAAGGGAAGAAATGAACCTTTTTGGTATAAATGCACCTTTGTAAGCATATTTATAAATTTAAAAAACAACAACTTTATTTGATGATTTTGATTTTTATGATATGAGAAATGAAAACAAATTGCTGTAAAAATAAAAATCTTACAACATAATTTTACAGTATTTCAAAAAATACAGTAATATTCTGTAAACAGCAATGCATTCTGGGAGCTTGGATAAAGTCTATAGGCTACTGTAAAATTCCATATTTACGGATGCATTGTGGGATTTAGAATAGTCGTGAGAATTTCCAGCAATGCGTGGAGGGATTTCTAGTGGTGGTAAGTGACTTAGTTAATTCATTTCTTAATTTTAATATTTCACTCTTTGTGTTTAACAGCTTTAAATTCGACATTTTTGAAAGTAATGTTATATCACCGCTCATTGTCTGCTAACAAGGTTAAGGTTAGCTTGATTGTTGCTGATGTAATAATAAGTGAATACAGAGGAGCTGTTGGCACTGATACATAAGGTCAGCTTTCAGCATTAATCATAATTTTGCAAATCACGAATTTAGTTTATGGTTAAATTAATAAAAGTTGATGTGCTCAGCAAGTAATACCAAACCTTTTCATTATATTTATTTTAACAGCATCTTTAGGATTTTACATAATTGTCCTGTAAAACAAATACAGCATCATCCTGTAAAAAAACGTTTACAAAAACTACAGGGCAGGCAACCCTGCTGCCAATATTTTTATTCTAAATTTTACAGGGTTTTTCTTACAGTGTTCATTAAGTCTTTCACTCTGCAAAGAGGAACCTAAAACAAGATGAGTGCACAGACTTTTTTTTATTTCGCCAACTCAGTACGATAAACCATATTTCTGATTAAAACCGGACAAAATTATCTTGTCTTGTCCTGCAAAGCACAAAATGTAAATTTTTGATAGGATTTTCTCATTTATGTGCCCACCCTGAATGTGAGTGTGCGCCACTCACTCCCTCTTGTGTCACCCCATTAAAAAAAGGGTCTGCCTAACTTCTTCTCCTCCTGCAATCCAAAAAGGAAGCTTTCCACAAACGCCCCAACCCAATCCAGACCTTTTCTATATACTGGGTAAAATTAATTTGCAGTCCCCAGCTCCTGTCGTGTGCTGAGTCATCACAAGCTATCCAAAAATAAATAGTTGAAAGCACTGCGTGACTACCTATCAGAGCCTCCACTGACCACCCCGTTCTTTTTAGTTGTTATTTTAATATGATTTAAACACATCAATGATTGTGCAGTCTGGTTTGTTGTTAACCTGATTCTCTGTGTGAATCGACAAACACAAGCAAGCTTATATAACTCTAAGTAGGAAAACAAACTACTGCACAGAGTGCTTGCAGAGAAACCCGACGCTGAGCCTGAGCTACACATGAAACGTACTAATACATGTAATGATTAATCGCGGCTATGCTCTTGAGACGCCATTAGATTTGCACTTAAAATAGTGAGAGGCACGCAGCTGGGTTTTAAAATTGCTAGAAGTTAACCTACACTGGGTTCATAATCACTGTATAAAGAAGAGTCTGTGCGAAAACCAATTCTCACTATGCTGGTGTTTCTCTTTCTTTGTTTTTGGTTTCCCGGTAATTCGTGAGGTGAATTTTAATCCTGCGTTGAAAAAAAAAAGAAAGTTACTATAAAAGTGTCGAAAAGCCCCCGTCACTTGTAAATCAGACCGGCGGGACGTCCCTTCCCCTTCGTAACTTACGTCGACGACTGATGTGCATTTCCCATCCGCCTAGACGCACGAGAGTAGTGTCACTGGGTAGGCGTTTTCTAGCCTGGAAAGTGTTGTTTTGTTTGCTCGCCGCGCACCCAGTGCACTCTAACTCCGAGAACCGGAGCCGAAAATGTCCTTTCACTCGGTTTTGGAAGGAACAAACTCTTTAACGATGAATGAAGGGGATCGGTTGGATACCACCATCTATGCGTGTCCGGCTTATGAGCTCAGTAAAGCGGTGTCGGTGTCTTTGGGTTTGGATTCGGTGTCTTCTCCGCCCAATAATATGAACCAGAGCTCCAGCAGCGCCTTCGCAGCAGAATGCGACTCCACTGTGGGGGATACTTCTCGGGGAGTGCCAGAGTTGAGAAGGACTGGAAATATGAACTCCGACAGCAGCGTGCTTGTCCTGGGTGACAGCAGCCTTAGAGAGGACGACTTTGGAGAAGTGTGCCAGGGCATACAGCAGGTGAGCTGTATGGATCTGTTCGGATCGGGCGAAATGGACGGTGCGCAAACTGTGACGCGTGGCTCGGTGATATCCAGATACGTCTGCAGGGAGTCAAATGTGTTTATGAACCCCACGCTGGAGCTGCCCGCGACCCCTCAGGTGGCCGAGGTCGTACCCTTAAAACCACCTTCGTCTTACTATGCCAGTTCAGACCTATATAGGGATTTCCCACCGCAAATGTGGTGCGCAAATGAGCGCGCATACATCGAGCGATCCCAGCCTCAGCCACAGCAACAGCCACAGAGGGGAGAATCAGGGGAACATAATTATTTGTGCAAATACTGTAATTGTGGGCAAGCTCCTCGCGGAAACAGGCAGGAATGCCGCTGTATCTGGTACGGTAGAGGTGAGAAGGGTGGCAAAGGTGGCATGCGAGCGACGGCACAAGGATATGGCCAAATGGAAAGTTACCCAAGTGCGATTCCTCAGGGGCAAAGCACTTTCTCCACTATCAAGAGCGAGCCTTCGGTGTGGATGAATTGCACAGATCGCAGTTTAAGGTAAAGATCAGATTCGAATGATTTGTTTTGTGTGCGTCAGGTCAAAAGCCCATTCATACTGAGTACAGTACATTCAGTATTACCGATCCCTCCCATCTCTCACACGTTTCTTTAATGAGAAACACACAGCATGAGCATTGTGCCAGTAACTGCGCTTCAATCAACCCGCTTTGGTCATTTTGTCTTCTAAAAGGAGTGCTGTAATGAGTTTAGGCGTAAGTTCGCAGATGTTTAACGGTGCACTGTCTTTCCAGATTTCATGCTTAGTCTCTTGACGTTTCTGTGAGAGCCACAAAGCATAAGCTAATTGGATAAGTGTCAGCACAAATAAATCAAAGGCAGCGAACACGATTATTATATATCGCTATCAGCCATGACTTCTATTGATACTCTGTGGAGTCCTGAAATGTTCAGCAGCACTGAACCCTTTGTCCTCCAACAGCATGGTGTGGGGTTTTTTTGTTTTGTTTTGGCTTTCTCTAAATCATGTTATAGCATGCAGCTACAGCAACTTAAAGTTTATCCTATTCTTAAGATTTTCCAGAAATGTCCTTATAAGCCCTGGGACTGCAGCAGTAGGAAATGTATCAGTGTCCCTATAAAGAAGAGATACAGCACCTGTTGCTGTTTCTGCTTCTAGAAAGAAAACCTTCTATTTTATTACAAGTTACAAGTCATTAAAAAAAACTTCACTCTGGCATGTGCTAATCACAACTTTTACTTTGGAGCAAACTGACTCCCTTTGCTGACAAATTGTGAACCACATGATGGAAAAATTTTTAATTTGATTGGATTTTAGGGAATTGGCACGATAAGGCTCAGTGAAGGCAGACCTACTAACCCAAAACCGATAATGTCTGTGTGAGTGCTTTTTAATGTCTGCTGCAATTCTTCATCAGTGTCTTCCC